TATTACATCTGTTCCTTGTCTTTCAGCTCTGGTGTGTGTGGCTTTGTTATGTGTGAGCAGTTGTGGCTTTTGGTTCTTGATAATTCAGTTTTGTTTCTGCTTGCAGAAGCTCCATAACAAGCTCAGTTCCTAGCAGACAGAGAATCAAAGGTTCTGACTATTTCCCTTGCATTTACTCAATCTTTATTTCTCACTTGCCTTACCAGATGTCCCCTCATGACACTCAAGTTATCCAACCAGACCTCCCAAGGAGCTGGGTTACTTTCAAAATCTGTCTCTGGAGCACTGCACGGATCCTGAACTTACATATCAAGGGATGCATCCCAGCAGAGGTAACTAACTAGTCACCCATTCTTCTGCTCCTGGAACAACCACGTGCTTCACTCCCAAACATGACAAACTGGCAATGGGAATTTGTGTGTAGAATCTCCAAGAAGTTGAACCAAGACATGCAAAAGCTGCAGTAAGTAATGAGGATTCCAAGCAGTAGGAACAATCAGAAGTTTGAGGAATATGGAAGAAATGCCACCCCAGAATTAATCTACTGCTGCTTTGGGGATTGCTATTCTTACTCATCAGAAATTCCCAGAGCCCGATGGCTCTCAGTTAACACTGACCTCCGGGGCAGGACTACGCAGTACAACTGGTTGTTCAAAGTAGCCTTGATAAATGTGCTGCTGCCAGAAGACAGGAATGTGTTTTAAACAAGGTCAGGTGTCCTGTTACATTGCAGGACATAATCCTGGTTTGTGTATACACACACATCAATTTCAATTGCATGATACGTGCTGGATCTACCTGTCTACAGTGGATCTTTGCTTCTCCATCACTGCTCCCTAATCCTTGGCCATCATTTAAGAACATGCTAATAGAAAAAGTCAAAACTAGTTTTGTGCAAGTGGAGTTACTGGCTTGTCCTCTTCCTGGTCAAAAATTATCTTCTGATGATGGTGAAAATCCCATTACATTCTACCATATTAAAAAAAACCCCCGCCTTTAAACATTCATTGTGTGGTGGTTTTTTGTTTGGATTTTTTGTTTTGTTTTGGTTTTTTTTCCCCAGTTAAAAGCCTGGCTTCCTATGCTGCCCATATTAGATACCTTACCTAAATAGCTCCCCTGACCAAAAAAAAAAACCCCTTTAAAGCAGAACCTTACATGCACAGCCACTGAAGGAATTAGTCCCAGGCTGAGAGCTTCCTATTAGCTTTATTTAATACATATGAAGGACTCTGCATTGCTGTCCCAATTACACATACAAGGCAGATTCCACAGTGGACTGCATTTGGTCTTGAATGCCTAATTTCCCCATAGTTTTATTTACCATTCTTAAAAAGGATAAACAGAGAGCCAATTGCTTACATCTTTTGAAGAACATATTTCCTCTACAAGAGGCTTCTTGAACACTCATCATTCACAATTGTGCTCTTGGAAGTTTTAGCAATATTTGTTTCAGATAAGTTTATTTTTATATGATTGATTGAAATCTCAAGCTGCAATTAAGAAAATTGCAGCGAGAACCATTAAAGGAGTAGCGTCATTTTCTCCCCTTTCCTCTAAAATGTCAGGTTTCAATGTCACCGCGAGATAACCCAATCGCGTGCTTGTACACCCGGGCTGGAGTGAGCGGAAAACCGTCTGCAGTACTAATTACAAACGACTGGAAATAATGACACAAGGCAGAAGGAAAATGAAAGGCCCTGGTTCCTATCACTTACCCACCCAGGTGTGTGCACAGAGATGCAGGTTACTGTGGAACCGTCTATTTAGTAAATACACAAACATCCATCCCCACTTGTAGAGCAGCCTCTGTCCCTCCCCCATCTCCCTCTGTCTCTCTGCCCTTTCTTTCTCTCCAATTATAAACCAGCACCAGGTTTTCTCATCAGCCATCTCCATGTCTCCAAATGGCTTTTCAGTGTCAGGCCTATCAGGAAATTAACTCATCATGCAGTGACAGCTGCTAATTTTTTCCCCTTACATGTCAGATGGATCGCCTGCTGAAGCTAATAATGAATCACCAATCCCTGATTAGAAGGTGCTTCCGAAACATATAACTGCCATCTGAGCTAACTTTTTTCTTCATATAAAATGATATCACCCTAGAGGAGCAGAAAACGAATTGTATTCTTCAACAAGATAGAACGGGGGTAGCCTGAGTGAGCCACACACTATCTTAAATTATGGGCTAATATTGCTCAGTAAAATAAGTGAAAACTCACAGCTCCTTTCTGTTTTGCCAAATGAATGACCTTTTTTTTTGTGTTACTTAATCCTCTCACTTGAACTAACTTAATTTCAATCTTCACCCTTCTCTCTTTATTCTGTTTACAGCTGTTGTGCTCAGGAAGCCTACTGATCAGGGAAAGTTGGAGAAAAGCCCCAGAGATTGCTTTCCGAGGCCTCTGCCTACCACAACGCTAGCTCCTTGTACTGCTCTGCCAGCAGCTCCAGCCCCATCTCCCAATCCCCAGGATTTTCTCAAGGGAACTCACCTTCATTTCAAGAGCAGGTCCAGCTCAGGGCCAGCCCAAGGCACAGGAACTTTTAACACAGAGGTTCCTACAAGCTTTTAGATGAGCTGAATCCCCTGTCCACGAAAATCACAAATGTATTTCTTCCAGGACTCAGAGCTAACACTCCTGGTATTAAAGCAGCGTCCATAGATGACAGCAGTGCTTGCAGGACTATGCACAATCCCCATGTGCATAACAACAGCACATCAACTCCCTGGCTCACCTCACTTCCACAGTGTTGTGCAGCTGGGAGTCAGGCAGAATGGCATGTGGGCCCTTTGGGTGGTGTTGGGTTTTGGGTTCTTCTGTTTTTGTTATAGGAAATATTTCTCTAAATATCATTTCCAGCTATCTCTTATCTCCCATTTCCCCCCAAAGATGGAGCCTGAATTCAGAGGCCAGAATACACTGCCAGGAGGTGTGTATCTGATTCTTAAGAAATAGAGGGTGAAACTGCTTGATGGAAATACATCTCTTCTTTCTCTGTCATTACTTAGGATTTTTGGTTCACTCATGGTGGTGTTTGTTTTCGCTTGGTTGGGTTTTTTTTGTTTATTTTTGATTTGTTTTTTAACTTATTTATTAATTATTTATTTTCCCCCTGCATACTAGTTCCACAGTTCTTAAATAATCACATTTTTACCTGTTTGGCACCGTCACAGTATACTCCAACTTCATTAATGCTTATTCAGAATGGATAACAAAGAGAAAATTAAGCCACTGGCTCTGGCAGTCAGAACATCAGGAGGCAACTGACTGACATGGGAATACTGCCCCTTCAACAATCGCTTCCATTACAGCACAGCCCTTGAATTCTCTGGAGACAGGCAACTGAAGGTATTCAAACCAAACAGCAAAACACACTTGTAGTGAATGGCTGCCTGGGCTAGGCACCCTCCTAAAACCACCTCACGAGTTCTGTGGTGCTCTGACAGTGGACGCTGCCGGTGGAAAAGGGCCCCAGCAGCTTCTGAGCTTGCTCCCGGACAGGTCACAGGTGCCTGACCAGCTCCATGCACGGCCCTTGGAAGGTCAGGGCCTTCTCAGATGCTGCTCTACTCTAAGTGCCTCCCTCTGCTGCCTAATCTTCCTTGCTATCCAAGGCAGAAGGCGTGGGAATGCTTGGAAGATCCATAGAACAATCCAGCTCATCTCCTCTCGGATTATGATATGGGGACTATGCCAGGAGCTCCGGCACAAGAGCGAGACAAATGCCAGAGACGTTTCCTAGGTGCTGGAAGAGACCTGCCATAGCCTCAACTTTCAGTGTATGGCAGAGAACCTTTTAGCATGGGGTTGAGACAGTCCATGGAGTCCTTAAGCAGGATGACAGCACAGGAACGAATGTCACCCTTGATTTCTAATGTTACATTTGTAGGGCACTAATAAGTTAACTTTAAAGTGCATATTAAAAAGAAGGAAAAAAAAAAAAGGCCCTAGGAAAATATTAGCTCCCCTGATCAGGCTGCACACAGGGAAAAGTATTGTTAACCTGAGCTCCCAGGTAATTACAGCACATGGTAGGTTAGTGAATCCTTTCCAGTGCTCCCAAGCACAGGAACATCTACCACTGGGGCTTTTTTTTATGCAAAGGTCTGCTCTTTTCATTGTGCATACAATGTGATTGCTGGTTTGACACTGCAGGCTACACTGGTTTTATGAAGGATTAAATGCCACCTGAGACATATTTATCCTAAATAAATCACAAATGGTAAACTGCAGCATGTCAGTGTCAACACCCTGTACTGCAGCAGAAAGGTTAGCCATACAGGACTAAGCACAGCGAAGAATTAGCATCCAAGCTGCAAGACCACAGGGCTACAGTTAACAGGAGAAATGATCAAGGAGAAATATTTCCACTGAAAAACATTCAGTTTTTTGAACATCTGTGAGAGTCTTGCAGAGGGCCATCATTTTGTAAAGGTCACCTTTTTCCTGATAACAAACGGGAGTTGATCCTGTCACTGTTTGCTGAAGACAGTATTTAAGAGTAAGTGAACAGCTTGTCACTTTTAAGAAAGATGAGCAAGTCAAACTCGCCTAATTATGAATCTTGATGTCTAACTTGAAATTTACTTTTTTGGGGGTTTGACAAAGACACAACCTCAACTCTTGGAAAATAATAAAATTTGAAAAATAATAATAATAAGAGATGAAGAGGCAGCAGGATCCTATAGCCCCAGAATGAAGCACCTTTTCTCAGCAGCCCTATAATAAAATACATTTTTAAGCAGTTGCTTCAGGAAGGAACTATTGTTTTACTCCACCCCAACTTTCTTACAGTTGATAATTTTAAGATATTAAACATGATAGGAAACCCAGTTATCTCTAGAGTCAGCATGGCTTATACCCTAAACACTTACACAATTATATTAAGCATGCATGAGGCACACTTCAGAAATTAGATTCTTTTATCTTTATCTATCTAGCAAGCTAGAGAAGGGAAAAGAGAAAAGAGAAAATGCACAGACATAACAGATAGCATTCGTTTGCTCCTTCTGAATGCCAGTTCTGTTTATTGTTTAATATTAAAAATCATGATGCTTCATTTTAATGCTAACATTTTATTTGAAAGATGAAAAAAAAAAATCCCCAAACCTTGCCAGTTTATATTTTACAATTTTTCTAAAGAAACAGAAGCAGTATTATCATGAAACAGATCTTTTCAACATGAACTTGCATTGAACAATTGCAGTATATCCACAAGTAAATAACTGACATTCTGGACTAAGCAAGAAATACAAGGTCACCTTTATTTCCCCCTACTTGTTAATGTCAATGTCAGAATTTTCTTTAAAAATCCTCCTAACATTTGAGAAGTAGCTCACAAAATGAACTGCAAAATGGTATTTATATGAAGCACTAGTTATAAGAAAAGCAAAACACTGACAGTGACAATATTTTTTTCAAAAAATGCACATTTCTTATGTAGGACTCTCATCTAAAATTAAGTGGAAGTTACAGGCATCAAGTTCTTCTTCCCAAATATGTATAATCAAGGATTTTCTGAAGTGCAGCTTTTTTGAGCTCTTCTTTAGGGAAAGTCTTATGTGTTACCATGAAAGAGTAAAGTACTATGAAAACTTTCATTTTAGATGCAAAAAAAATTCCTTATTTTGATGACATATTTTTAGCCAAGCATGTTTTAAAGGAAGATTTTGGAAAGCAAAATGTCACCTGTTCTACTTTAAAATGAAGAAGGGCACCCAATACTGTATGAGTACTTGCCTGTTTACCTTGCTATTGTGGGGTTTGTATTTTTTTGCATATTTATCAGTTCACAAAATGTACATGTAAGTGCAATTATTTTACTCCTGTGATTATGTTATACAAAAATGACAGAAGGCAGGGAATTACCCTGAGATAAAACAACATTAAGACAAAAACATCGACAAAGAAAGCACTGAACAGAACAATTTCTATTTTGGGCGAGGGGCTTTTTATCCTGTTTTGTACCCTAGTATGCTTGTTTTATAATAATCCCATATAATAGTTACTAGAGCTATTGTAACAAAATTGTATTATCCTCTTCAGAGAACTCCTCCTATTAGCAGGATATGTATTTGTTACCTGGCTTGGAGGAGGTTCTACTGAGAAGGCTTTACAGAAAACATTCCAGGAATGCAGTGCCTCCATGATTCTGGCAATATCCAGCTCTGCTCTGCACCCAGCCTATATGTGAAGCTTCTCATGCTTCTTGTACTTTGTTATAATCTCTCTGGCCTTGAATTACCTGTGAGCCACCCTCTGTATAAATGACCATGCTTGTTAACTGCTCTCTCGCTCTATCAGGGGCTACAGCTTCTGCTTTTATAGCAGTACCAGCCTGCAGAACGTCTTGGGACCCAGCTGTCTCTATCACGGTGTGTGAGTACACACCGGGCTCATCCTGCATGTCTGGTGGCAATTCTGTGACGATGTAGTGCGTTGCACCTTCAGAGAAGTCACCATCAGAACCCTGAGCCATGGCTTGAACCAATTCTTCACTGACAATAATCTGTGATATTTCCCCATCTGACTCCACTAAATCCATGTGTTCGCTCTGCACACTGAGTGTGTGACTACCAGCTTCCTGCATAATTATCTGAGAGCCTTCTCCAGCTACCATATGCACAGTCCCTTCCTCATTTACAATGACCTGGGTGACACCTTCTTTCATGAGCTGGTCGGCCGCAGCCGTGTCACACACAGCAAACTGCAACACTCCTTGCACCATGTTCTTGAAGGCAGCCTGAGCTCTCTCCTGAGATGCAATTACAGCCGATGGGTGCATGACCCTTGTCACTACTTCCATAGGTTTGGTATCTTCCTGAGACTCCTGAACTTCATGGAACATCTGTATTTCTTGTCCCTCTGCATCACTGGGAATGCTGGGCATCTCTGGGTTGTGCATTTGCAAGAAGTCTTTGTGACCAGACCTGCATCTGTCAAGGAGCCCAGATTTGTTTTCCGCTTCACCCAATTCTGTCACAGCACAAAGCAGGGCATCTAATGCCGAGGAGGACTCCGGAGGATGGGCTGTAGCCTCAGAAGCATCTAAAACTTCTTGTCGCATTATCTGCTGCAGTACCGTGCTGCTGGAGTCAGGAACCGCGTCTATTTGAACGGCTTCCTCCATGTCAGCTCCTGCTCCTTCAACCACCACCACCTGTGTGGCACCATCTGCTAACTGCTCTGTGAGGATCTGCTCAGGAACCACACTACTCACGTGGGAGCCATTCTGGTTTGTGGCTATGACCTGCCCATCCTCTGTAATGTGGACCACCCTGGCCATCTGCCCTGCCATCGCCAGCGTCTGCAGGGTGGCCGCTGCTGTCTCTTCCACGGAAGCGTCGATGGCGAAGTCGCCGTCGTATCCTTGAATAATAATGAACTGCTGAACTTCCTCAGGGGACTGTGGCTGTCTCCTGCTGCCCCGAAAGGCCTTCTCCTTCACTGGAGAAACCTCTCCCAGTGCTGCCGCAGTAAAAGGGCTCGTGGTTTCCACAAAGGTTGCTCCTTGCCCCTTCAGTCGGCACTCGTAGGACTTGGACACAATGCCTACAAGACAAAATATGCTGTTAACATGGTATCATGGCAAGTATCAGTTCATTACTTTAACAAATTGTAGCTTAAATGGAAAATATTCCTTGTCAATTTTTAGATTTCATTGACAGAAAACACAGATAAAATGAGCAAAAGAACAAAACCTATTTGCATGCTTTCCAAACAACATATTTACGGTTGAAATAATTGCTGAGTGTAACAATTCTGCAGCTTATTAACAATTTAAATGTGTTTTAAAAAATATTCTGTATAAAAAAAGCCCAGATAAATACAGTATACAGGTAAAAGCCACATCTTTTATAGAAGATCCTATTGTGATATTTCAGTACTCCAGTAATGATTTTTAGGATTGTATATTACATTAAACATATCTTGGTGTGAGAAACCGTGGCACATCTTAATACACAGCTTTTGTTGGGGAGGTGATTGCCATGCTGTCATTTTGATGCCATTGTCTTCCCCTTCCTTTTCCATCCAGCATCTTCTCCAGCTCATGTGACTGATTCAGTCATTCACCCAGTTTCCTGGAGAAAACACTTGGTAGTTTTCTTACGCTAAGCCGTATATTCTATAAAACCTAATCCAGAGACCAATTACACATCTTAGTTGAAATCAATTAACAAACTATAATACTTGAAACCTCCATATTCCAGCTGATTGCTGTGCCACCCAGTTTGGTTTTGTCTCATTGAAGGTTTCCTTCTCAATTCTCACCACTAACAATAAAGCTTCCTCAAGGCAAATGGTGCCCAAAGCTGTACAAAGTCAAGGCCATCACCCTCCAAGCAATGGCCCACATGCTTTTGGGAAGACATAAATGAGGGGACCCTGTGGCCAGCTCTGTGGATGTCCATGGAAGGATAGCTCTATCCCTCTGTGTCTCCCCACGGCAGTGCCATCGAGAAGCACCCAGGAAGCCCCTCCGTGTGCTGGGAGCAAGCTGTGGGACACAACCAGTGCACACAGAGAGAAGAGTGGGTGCTGGACATTACAAACAAGGTGAGGGTCTAGTGACAGATGGGCCTTGGGAAGGCTGAGTAAGTCCATGCTGCTGAGACTGCCCATATACACATTCCAGTTTAAATTCACCTACACAGACTGGAATCATATCTCTGGAATAACAGGTGTAGCTTCTTACCACTAATGTAAATAGCTATGCCATGGCTTGCTTGGGATAAAAACAGGCAAGAAAAAAAGTGACACTTACAGTGAAATTTCAGGCTAGCACTACTTTCCAAGCCAGTTCTAGTGAACAACGTGCTTCATTGAACTCAAGAGACCAAGCAAATTATACTAAAGCTGGTCTAAGGGGGCTCTTTCACTCAAAGCACAGAGCTGTCAGACCCTGATCCCACAGAGAATTAAAATGGGCTCTAAAAAACAGACTCATTTGCTTAAAGGTAAGTTCACACTTAGAAGCTGATTTACTCCAAGACTGAATACTTAGCACCTTGCAGACTCTAGCAACTTGCTATGTTAAGGCGCATATTGAACTAAAATTCCAAAATAATATCAATAATTAAAAGACCGAGGTCTTATACTGTTATCTATCTATCTATCTATCTATCTATCTATCTATCTATCCATCCATCCATCCATCCATCCATCTATCCATCTATCCATCCTTTCTCCAATTACAGAGCTTCTGTTAGAGAGCTGTACTGTGAAGCACAAAGAAGTAATTTTGTCAAGCCAAAAGGCTGCAAATCACCTTCACAAGTCTAAACTGATGCCCTAAAACTTTCTGATTCCTGGTTTGCAAGGCAGGTTATCATTGGAAAATAAAATTAATGATTAAAAACACTAGAGAGTTTCCAGGTGATGTTGCATAAAAATTTGGCACATGCAATTGAAGTACACTTTGTCAGGTATAAGAAAGTAAGCCTACTCTGGAATACAATTGGTTCTTATTCCCACTTTTCCTGTGCTCTCTGTAGGCACTGACATTCACATGACCCCCCAAAGAGCAGAAAAGTAGGAAGGGGAAATCAACATAAAATGACAATTATCTTAGCTCCTCCACATTTTGTAATAGAGTATAAGTAATTAATTCTCTCAGGAATCTTGCTTTGTTGACAAGATAAAAGAGGAGCCTGGCAATGATGTGGCACTAAATCAAAATAACTCCACAAATCATGCATTTTTCACTGGATTCCAAAATCAAAATAACTCTACAATCATAATTTTCACATGCACATACACAAAAATCATGACAACTTTCTCTAAAGATCATAATAATTTATGTACAGGACACATCATCAGTGTATTGAGGAGAAGCTCAGGTCTGGGGAAGGGAAAGAAAAAGGAAATTCACCCTGTTTTCATCTCCTCAAATAAATGCTGTGCCTGTGAATCTATGCAACTCCAGTCTTTACTGTGCAATTGAATGGGAAGTCTCCTGGGTGAAGAGCTATCCGGTGAATCCCTCGCAGCACTGATAATTATGCCATTCTGACTGCTTACTTAATCTATTTGAATCCAGAGGTGAGTTAAGCCACTTCCTGACCATTAAAGTAAACTACATGGGTAAATACTGCTGTCACTAAGGGGTGTGATGAAGCTTAACTACACCAACATCTTAACCTCAGCTCAGTGCAACCCCAGCTATTCCATCACAGTTCATAAATGCGATTGCAGGTCCATCTTTTGATTCAGCAATTTAATAACTTCGAGTGCTGTCAGTACTGCTTTGAAAAATGGCTCCTATAAAATGTAACAGCCTCAATCAGATTGTAAAAGATTCACCCACTGAAGATTCTTCCATTTCAACTATAATGAATTAATGTTGAGCTGTGTAGAAGTTCAAGTGTCATTTAAACTAATGTGAATCTACTGTAACTTTAAATTTTAACTGGACTATGACCAAGAATTTACTGGGAACATCAACTTCAATTTTAGTGATTTTTCATGGTAAATATGAATTGCAGATTTTACTGGTTTTCTTTTGTTTTAACAGTGAAAAGCCAAGTAGGGAAGATATTTAGAAAACAACAGATTTTGAGGCTTAGCTGCTATTCCCATAATGAAGCACTGGAATCCAACACAACATTTGTAGGAATTTTTATGTATTTAAGGAACGTGTCACATTATTGGACTGTATGTAGCAACAAACCATGTTGTCCCAGTAAATCCAGCCTGCATCTCGCCCCCTCTTAATGGTTAAAGAGAAGGGGTAAGTGTTGGCTGACACGGCAAACATAAGCTGCAATACAAGCCCACATTAATATTAGGAAAAGTGGACTTGTTGCTGATTGCATGTCATTGCAAATTAAAAAGATACACAAATAGGCATTAAAATGACAAAATATAACGATATGAGAGCTCATATTCAGACAATTTGTAAGGAGGTGTTTCATATCTAGGGGTGCAATGATCAGAGAATTGGTTTCTTTCCAAGAAGTCTGTCATTTCAGCAGAGACATTATTTATCAGTTGGAGTCCTAAGCGACTGTTAGTTTTTTATTTGAAAATGTCAGGATATTTTAGACATTAAATCCATATTCACAGGTTATTTTAATTCTCTGAGACCACAAACTCCTGAAATAGGGCTAAAAGAAATGCTTTGATGTTTAATGTGTGTCTGGGAAACTAGAAATAGGGCTTAGTACCTCTTCCCCTCTCTCTTACTCAATACCTGACTTCCTTTTGTGTGTCTGTTTTATTCTTTTGTTACTGTCATCATTTGTTCCCCACAGAATAAATACCTTATTCTTTTGTTAAGCTTACATTTAATTAAAATGTACAGGATTTGTGCAGTAAACTCGAATGAAACAAATAAAACAAGGGCCCCCTCTCTTGAAGGCATACGTTGTGAATGAAAAATGTCATTACAGACTAAAAAATTTTGCAGTAAACAGGGCCTACAGAGAGAAGTTTCCCCCGTAATGACATCCATAAAATACACAAATGGCACTTTTAGTACCATCCTGAATATGGCATTTTCTGTGCTCTACACACAATCTAAATGGTTTGATCATAGAGCATAATACTCCATTGGGTTTATAGAACAATCAATGTTCCATAAAATGATGTATTTATCCAATAGTAGGCTCAGCAGTTACTGGTGTATGACATTGTAGGACACTGGCTTTGTACTGTTCAGCAGCACACATGCTGGCTGTAAAACTTATCTAACACTACTTCAACAACTTCATCTCATCTGTGTCAAGTAATTTGTTGAAGCCTCAGCTTGGTTTAAAAAAACTTGTAATAAAAATTCATAGAATTTTCAGGAGAATGAAAGCTGATGACAATAGAAAGGTCACATTGTGGCGCCACTCATGGGGTCGGGGGTCAGCTGCAGTTCTAAAACAGAAAGTAGATTTCATGCATCGTGTAGCAGATAAAGATGGCATTAAGGAGACTTGTCTCAGAAAGAAACGCGTAATGCGTGAGGAAAGTCTGGGCTAATATTATATGTAAAGCACCACCTTGCTCTCAGCCAGCAGCCTCTTTAGAATTCTAATCCTTCCCCAAAACTTGTAGCAAGCGGCTGTGTGTGGTGAGGCTGGGCTGAGGACATCCTTCACAAGGAGCACCTTTAGGACAAAGCAGTAAGTCATAAATGAAATAATCTGTTATGACGACGGAAATGATCTGCATTTACACAGCTAGCTTAAAACAGCTATTTTTCCTTTTCTATAAAAGTTCTAGGAGGCTGATTTATAGTCCCCTATTCAGCAACACTTAATTTTTCATATGTTGGTGATTAGGTATAGTATTTATTGACATAACCAAACATTTCGTATCTGCTAAAATGCAACGAATATTAAATACTGTGAATGCAAAGAAACATATTTTCCTTCAATTAAATACAAGCTGTAAGGAATTGAAAAGATATTAAAAAATCACCTTATGTCTAACATCACTTGAACAACAAGCAACTGATTTTCTTATTTTATAAGTTATTGTCTACATTGCAGCACAGTATTTTGAATAATACAGTAAGTCCACTTTTCAAATTCATACAGTAATATAACTTATGTCTTGATCAA